TATGTCTCCTTCCCCCTCTTAATCTGGTATTATGCACAAACCTGCGCTAAGAGTGCATACTGTCCCATCATCCAGGTATTTAATGAAGACATTGAACAGTATTGGCCCAGTATTGATCCTTGAAGAACGCTGCTGGTTGGGTAACGCGTTTTTTGTGTGTTGTGGTTTGTTTCTTTATTAATGTTTTTCTTCCTTCTTATTTTTTTCCCAAGAGCACCTTATAGTCCACATCGTCCATGTCTCACCAGCTTAGCTATAAGAGTACTATGGGAGACAGTGTAGAAAGCCTTGCTCAAGTTAAACTAAATAGCATCTAGTGTTCTACTCTCACCCACTGAGCCATTCATTTCATCACAGAAAGCAAAGAGGTTATTTGAGCACAATGTGCCGTCACTAAGTCCGTGCAGGGTGTGCTCCCAGTTGCTTTCATGTGCTTGGGTACAACTTTTTGGGGGAATTTTCTTTGATAGCATTCTGAGAACTGAGATGAGGCTGACTGGCCTATAGCTCCCTGCACGCTCTGTCTTGAACATGTACGTGGTGGTTTCTTTTTTGCAGTTTTCAGGCACTTCCCCCAGTCATCATGACATACCAAAAAAGGATAGAGTGTGGCCTCTTGGTAACCCTGGCCATGGGCACCTTGGGATGTATTCCTTATAGCTTTGTGGAATCTCATATGTCAAATCTGTTTCAGTGGTCCTTTCTCCTTTACTTTGGTTCCACCACTGTTGTATGCAACTTCTCTTTGCCCTTGTGATAACTACTGCATGTCTTGCTTCAGCATCATTCTTCAGATCAGGTACACCAACCTGTTTGTCCTGCCTTGTGATTGGATAGTTTATAGGCCAAATCTCGATCTACTTACTCTGGTTACATTATGCAGTGCTAGACTGAGTTTGTGAGAACTCTTTGATTAAACACTGTTTTGGATGCAGATCGCAAATTTTGTTATTCCCAAGTTATCTTTCAAATAAAATGTCAAGTCCAAGTAATAGTGTAGGATGGAGCAGTTAATATGCTATCAGGACAGTTGCATAAATAATTAAGCACAATGTGTCCAAAATAAACTTAGTTTTACTATCAGCATTTTACTTTGGAGTCAGTTGAACCAAAGATGAATATGAAGAAACTTAGTCATATGGCAGAAGTAATCTGTTCCTTATAGATAACTCTGTTTCCAAATATTCCTCTCTGAAACGGTGACAGTAGGTGTAGTTCAGATCAGTAGTAAGGCACCTAAATCTATGTGTTGGTTTGTAAGTGTATGTGTAAGTTCTTTGCTAACTAGGGTATGATTTGTCTCATCCTGAGGTGGAAACCTAGTGGGTAGTCCCATGGTTGTTCCCTAATCAGTCCATCTACTGACGCCTAGATCTTTGTATCCTGTAATAGGAGTTTGCTTTCAGGTAGACACCTACGTTAAGGGTGTGTTAGTCTAGTGCTAAAGCCCTGCCCTGTAAGTCAAAGCCCATGTTTATGTAATCTAGCAGAAGCTTTGTTACCGGATTAAATACTGTTGACAGAAGCTGCCTTTCTTGTAATATTTTTCCACATACATTTAGAGAGTTTATGGGCAGGGGCTGGAGAAAAGAAAGAATATATTACATGGAAGAAATAGGGTGTGATTTCCTACATGGTTGCATCTCTTTCTCTTGCTCTGTTACTCTTCTCTGATAACACATGTGAAACTCCCACCGTTTGTGGTTCTGTCCTCTCCTTAAAAAAGAGGAGCTCTCTTTCTTAGAGCTGTGGCACAAACTGTGCCCTCTCCACCAGCTGACCGAGCTGGTGGAAGTCTCATCTCTTCAGACCTCTGCCCATTAAATGTGTTTGGAAATTGGTAGGCCATCTTAAGATATTTCTAGGGGAAATGCAGGCAATTCATGGCAAAGATAGATGCCTATAATGGAAATACTGTTCTTCAAAGCTTGATGTGCGAAGAGGGAAGGAGATCCAGAGGTATTTTTGGGTATTACTGATTTCATCTTAAAACAGGCCTGAGTAATATCTTAGGAGTATATCCACTGCCTTTTCTCTGTTTTTCTCTTCAGTCCATTTCTATTACTAAGGGCCATAAAGTTACAAATTAAAAACCCAACAATAAATAAATAAATAAAAATCCCTCAGATATTATGTAGAGTTAGTACTAGTAAACCTTTTGGGATCATCTCAGATAGACAATTTTTCAGAAAACCTTTTCTTCTCTAGTGCTGCCTTGCTTTCAGGTACTGCAACGTTGTGCATATTAGAAATTAGAAGTTAAGGTAAGTTAAAAAGTGGACCAAAGCTACTACAAGAGTCTGTGTGAACCTGAAAAGCCTACCACTCCTGTCCAAAATGTGTTGCTGAGCTTGCTTTCTTCATTGCTTAATTTATGACCTTATTTTGCAAATGCTACTTGTGAATAGGAAGTTGTCAGTGGAATTTCCATTTGGAATTGTTCAGTGAAATCAGTTCAAAGTGAAACTTTACAACTGATTTTATTTGTTTATGATCAGAAACTTTGTATAAAACCTAATTTCTTGGGTAAGGACTTGTAACTTTTGTTTTTTGGATTGTAAACACCTCAGAAAAGGGATGACAAGTTAAATGGTTACTTTGGTTGTTGATGTAACTGGCTTTCTCTGTCAGAGCTGCTCTTGACGACTTTCAGCTTTGAATAATGAAGAAATGAAGGCAGGAATAATGCATTGCAAAATATACCTTATTATAGTTTGACAATACTCACTTCAGTTACTGATGTTCCAGTCACTGTAAGTGAAAGATGATAACATGGTGAATAATGAGGTGATTAAGATGTCTCCTTTGGCATTAGGTGAACTTTTTGGGGAGGTGAAGTAGAGAGGTAGTGGAAAAAAAGCTTCATCCAGAGAATTGTGCTGTAATTGAAAGTATTAAACAACACTTCTCCTTTCCTTCCAGAATTATACTAGATTTTTTTCAATGTATGTCTTGTTAGTTCAAAATAAAGCATTATCTGCCTCTTCAGCATTGCTTGTTGTTTTAACTTCATGTGACAGCTTCATTCAGATCTGTTCCTTTCAAGTTGTGTAGCGCTGAGAATTTTCCAGTGACTATTTGTGAAGGTAGTGACCCCCACTTCATGGTCCTGCAAACTTTGTAGACCTTAGACTTTAGTTTACATGCCTAAAACTTTACAAACTGATTAGGAAATAAAATTTGGATCCTTGTACTCAGAAATAAATGGTCCTTTTCACTAAACAAAAACATTGGAAAGGCCTAATGTTGTTCTTAACTAGATGCTTTTGATGTTTTAAAGATCATGGTGGCATACAACAATATCCAGTTTTATTGTAATGTTGTTTTTTTGCTGATTCTTATTTGATCATATTCTCATTTTATTTGAATTATCCAAATTTCATGTGCTGATGGATTGGTGCTAAGTTATGCACAAAATAGTGGCTTTTGAACTCAGGAAAGATCATCTTCTCAAATAACATTAAAGGTGGTTTCACTTTTGTCTGTTAATTTCAAGATGAGGCTTATTAAAAAATTTCCCTGCATTGGCTGCATGCAAAGTCCTCGAGAGTTGATTTTAAGAATTGTTGGCCTATAATCTTTGGATTTTTTGCTTACTATCTCATTACACTTTTTGTTTTTGCATAATATAGTCAAATTTCAGGGTGTACTAGGTAGAGACAGAAAAGACTAATCTTTTAGATTAGTCATTAGACTTAATGTTTTTTATCCTTTGTGTGTGACTTGAATTCGAGTTTAATTACATTGGAAAGAATTAGGTTGGTCTGCCTTTTTCATTATAGATGGTCATGTATTGGATAAAGAATGCATAGTCATTCCTGTAATAATTTAACCAAGTTGTTCAACTCTGTTTAAGCCAGACCTGTTGCTTCAGAAGCCTGAAATATGCTTCTTATAAGATTGGAAACATTTTGTAGAGCTTAAATAGTCCTTGAAGCTGATACAAACAGCTTTGTGGACTTAGCAAGCACTGATCTCTGTTCCAAGTGATGCACGTGTGGGATCATGCTCAAACCAGGGCAGGCTTCTGACTCTTGGTTTGGTGACTGCACCTGTAGTTGCAAATGGTAAATGTGTATTTTGGCAGATGCTTGTGTATGTCGTAGTTCATCTTAATGGCATTTTAATTCATAAGTAGTCACTTGATGAAGTGGCTTATTTACTTAAGGAAAGATATGAGGACCAGTTCTGAAGTGGTGGCCTGTTAGGACATAATGGTTTCTTATGTGGTAAATACATGAACTGATGAATATGCCTTGTTTATTTGGCAGCATACTGTTTTTATTTCCCATTACTGCATTCAGATAATGAAATAATGTAAGAAAAGTTATAAAGGTGAGCATAAATACTTGCCTTGACTGATCAAATCTTGATTAGCTCTAACCGACAAAGATTCCTTCTTAAGTCCTTTGAAAATTTCTAGAGAAGTAAGATATGCTGCACTTAAAATTAGGAGCCCACCTAGTGCTGGAAGGTGATCTAGTAATTAGAATTTTAACATTCTTTTGGATTTTATTCTGGTTTGTTTTTGTGGGGTTTTATTTGGTGGTTGTTTTTAAGTGATGCTGTGCTCCCATACTTGAGGCACACAGAACTTGCGAAGACATTCATGAAGTAGTTCTGTTTGACAGTTTTTCTTTTGTTTGTCTTGAAATAGGCATCAGCTGAATCTTTTCAGTAGACAGTGTGAATAAGAAATTTAAAATTATTTGCATTTAAGGTAGAATAGATCTTATTGTCCAAGTCATCACCACTTATTTCTGTGACAAAAAACTGAAAGATGTTTTCCCTCATATAGTAGTAACGTGTATCAACTTTTATGACCTGTTCAAACAAAAAATACTGAATTTGGGCCTCTGTTTACTAGAGATAGCTGTTTGGGAAGGGTAGGTTTTGGCTTTTTTGCAACTATTCTATGGGAAGGTATAATAGCAAAGAGCCAGCTATGTAAATAATTTTTGATCTATTATAACAGTATCTTATTCTGTCTAACAGCAAACATGAGGTCAGCATCGAAAGAGCCAGTCCCATTACATGAAGAATTTATCTACTGTTGTGGAGCTGCTACCCATGTCTTAAAATGTGGGCCCTGGAAAGACCTCTCAAAGGATGAAAGTAAAAATCTACCCAGGCTCTTATTCATGATTATTCCTGGTAAGAGTCTTTCTTTGTTTAAGTCCAGAAATGCAAGGATTGGAAAGGATATGTTCAATTTCAAAAATCTTCCTAGATAAGTGGTAGAATTTGGCCCATGCATGTGGCCAAAAAATCAATAGTATCGCAATGGTGAAATTTCTTTGATACATTTTATTATTGCTGTTATCTATATTTATAGTGGTGCCATAAGGTAAAACTGAGAAGTTAGGATGTCTCATTGATTTAGTCAGTGGCGGTGGTTTACTGACAGCATTGCTTTTTTTCCCATTGCTATCTTTCCATTTATTTATTGCACATTAAAGTGGTACTGCAAAGTCAGCTGTGTGCCAACTGAAAGATGAAAGTTTTTTAAAGGTTTTTTTTATAGTAAATGTTTTTTAACTTAGATTTTTGCACATGAATTTTTATAAGCTTCTTGAACTCAATGAGTATCGTATCTAAATCTGGTCATCTTAAGATGAAAACTCTAAACTTTCTTTTAGCACATGTTAAAATCAATGGAGAAGTCCTAAATTCCTTGAAGTCTGCCAGGAGTTCTGCCACTAGCAAAAGTAGAGCTTGAGCCCACTCGAGTAAATATGTTGTGACTCTTTTACTGCCTTAGAGTTTGCAGACTTCTAACGCTTACTATAGTTGATTTGAATGTTTTGGATACTATTGTTACTTCCCAAAAATTAGTGGTGGGAATAATGACTCTTGTGATTATCCAGATTTTTGGCTTACTGTTTCTGTTAAAGTATACTTTGTTGCTGTCTGTGGGCCAGTGTGTGGCTTGGTCCGTCCTTAGTGGTGAAAGGTTCCATTTTTCAGGATTTTGCAAGGTTTTGGAAGCCCTGTGGAGTATTTTATGTTAGTTTCTTTGGGCACAGTGATTTTATGTCCTTGCCTCCCTGAGTTGAATAGTAGTGTAACTTTTAACCCAGGGACAGTGAAGTTTAAATTCTTAACTGAAAACAAGAAATAAGCCTCCTATGATTACATCTTGCTACTGTTTCATGGGAACAACTTTTTAAACCAGATACTGGATAGTGTAACTTTTTATTAAAAGACTATCTGTATGGATCTAAATCGTCAGACAGTTTTCCAGAGACACACGTGTGACTTGATGTTTTTCAATTACTGTGTTCTTTCAGTTAAGGCATTTCTGGAAGGCTTAATTGAACAGCTAAGTGTTTCTTTTTCCCCCAAGTTCTGAAGATTTCACCTGTCTTCAGGTTGTGATACCCTTGTGTTTGGGTTGGTAGTAGAGCCTGTAACTACTGTAAATCTGTAAAGCTACCTTACATTGATAGAAAGATTTGTAGGGGAAGAACACAAAAGTCACATTAGCATTGAAGGCAAGGTGCCTCTGCAAGGCATGTAGGTTATTCTGCTCGAAATATACTGAGTCACACAGACCTTATGGGCTCTGTACTCATCACAGGAAACTTTTCATGCAAGAAAATATAGTGGCAGGGCTATGTGGAGCTTATTTCCTGCAGAACAGTCTCCTGGAGACTCCTTAATAACATCTTACATTAACTAGATAGGTATCTAGGAATAGACATCAGTGGAATATTCAGAGTGCTTCTGTCATGGTCTGCAAGCTTTTGCAAGCAGCTGATTTATGGTTTTGCTCTTATTTTGGAATTATGTTGGTAACAAACTAGAAGTTCTCTCACTGAGAAAGCAATTAGAAAACACAGCAACCACAATAGCGCTATCTTCATTTTAGATACCCAAATTCAGTAGTGAATCAAGTTACCCAAGCCTCTTGCTGTGGCTGGCAGGGAGCTGACTAGGACCTGGCATAACAATGCAGTTTTGCTTCTCATAAATCAAATGTTTTTTTTCCTACTTGTATATGCCTCATTTTTAGCCTTCAAGGGAAATTCTATCTGCCAACACAAAAATACAGCCTTAAGAGAGATCTGGACATTTGGGTCATCTGGCAACATGTTCATGTACCTAAACAGTTAGGATTAGATAGCATTCCCTTCATGCTTTTGTAACTTTCCGAGTATGAAATGCAGAGGCCTTCTGGAGTCCAGCAATTTTCACACTCAAAAGCCATGTAACCCTAGTTAAGATTCTTTATGGAATGAAATAGAGGGGCAAAAGGATAGCTTGGTACAGGTCAAGGAAAGAAACACCCAGACAAGGACAACTCTCACTCAGAAAGGAAAGTATGCACAGCCAAGTTCCATGATCTGAACAAAGCATGGTTAGTCCTACTGCATGTGGTACATAGTTCTGTATATTAAACTGCTTTGGTACTTCAGATGCCAGTCTTAATGAAATTTATGTATATGATTTTGTTTATATATAGTCAAACTGGGGTTGGTGGGTGCATTATAGAGGAGAAAGATGATAAAATTCTCAGCTTCTGCTGGAACTTAATTGTTGTAAGAGAATTGAGAATAAATCCTGTATACTTTTTTTTTTTTTTTGGTCAAATTTCCTCATAATGGGGAGGAATTCTCTCTGCTCTGACTTTTTTTTTTTAAAAAGGGGGGAGGGGGAGGAAGCTGACCCCAAAGCATTCTTCTACTCTGAAACCGATGGCAAAATTCCCATTGACTTTAAATGAGGCGGGATTCGGCCTCCTCAGGACTGATAGCTCACTGTGCTTGAAGCAGTTGGAATACAGAATGTGCAGCAGACTTCAATCTCATTTAACTACAGCTAAGCTAATGTTTTTATATATGGCAGTCTGTGTAAACTTATCATTTGAATAAAGTTTTTCTATATTAGTTGGAATGTTTAATGTGCACTTTTTTCCTTCTGTAAGCAAAACCTCTGTATAGGAGTAATAGTGTGTTTACTGAAGTAATTACTGTGCAAAAGGCCCAATTTTTCCTCAGTCCAGAATATATACATATACTTGTTTGCCTTTCTTAATATTAATTCTTTTCTATTAAAATCGATGAGATTTACTCAGAGTAAAATTAAACGTGAAGAGTTGAAGTATCAAGTCCATGGTTTTCTGGAAATGTAGGCGTTATGGAAAGAACAGGAATTACTTTTTTTCCTCTTGTGTCATAAAGATCTATTTTCCCTTTTGCAATGTTTGTTTAGTGTAAAATTAGCAGTGAAGTATAAAATCTACTACAGCAATATTTAACATTGCTTGGGTTCATTGGAAACCAGGATCCACAAAGTGTAATGGAATATTTTTTTACTGTTTTAAGAGTATCTATTTGTGTCTGTGTGTTTATGAAACATTTAACTTCGTAAATAAATCCTGTACGAACTTTAAAACCACCGTGCTGTTTAGCTCATGAAGTTTTGCTGTTCATGAAGTTTTTATTGCATTTCATTGCAGGAGTGAGTTGCAATACTTTCATTCCAGACTTCATTATTTTTGTTACCATTGCGGTAAACTAGGCAATTTTGTTATTTGCAATCTTGTAAGATTGATAATGAATAATGTAAATAACTTCTTTGTGGTAAAGCATGCTACACCAGTTTCATTTGTTAATACACAGAAATCATTTCAGAATTCAGTTATTTGGCATGCATGCAGAGTAATCCCTATGCTTGCCAAGTTTCTTCATCTGTCCGCTTGCAATTGGATTGCTGCTGAGTTATTGGATCATCTTATTGTTTGACCTACTCATGCAGTGACTTGGAGACTTGAGGACTTAACCAGACACTTTTGTTAAAGTATAAAGGTTTAATCTCCTGAGCTAATCCTCTGAATCAAGAGTTGCTTAAGGCTTTCTGTACAACAGAAAGTGGGAGCTGGATTCTGATCATAGACTCATAGAATCATTTTGGTTTAAAAAGACCTTTCAGATCATCAAGTCCAACCCTTAACCTAGCACTGCCAAGTCCACCACTAAACCACGTCCTGAAGCACCACACCTACACCTCTTTTACATACCTCCAGGGATGGTGACTCCACCAATTCCCTGGGCAGCCTGTTCCAATGCTTGATAACCCTTTTGGTGAAGAATTTTTCCTAATATCCAATCTAAAGGCCGTTTCCTCTCATCTTCTCACTTGTGACTTGGAGAAGACACCACCACCCACCTCACCACAACCTCCTTTGAGGGAGTTGTAGAGAGCAATAAGGTCTCCCCTCAGCCTCCTTTTCTCAAGGCTAAACGACCCCAATTCCCTCAGCTGCTCTTCATAAGACTTGCTCTCTAGACCCTTCACCAGCTTTGTTGCCCTTCTCTGGACACGTTCCAGCACCTCAGTGTCCTTCTTGTACTGAGGGGCCCAAAACTGAACACAGTACTCAAGGTGAGGCCTCACCAGAGCCAGGTACAGGGGGACAATCACTGCCCTACTCCTGCTGGCCACACTATTTCTGATACAAACCATGATGCCATTTGTGTTCTTGGCCACTTGGGCACACTGCTGGCTCATATTCAGCCACCTATCAACCAATCCCACCGGGTACTTTCACGTCGGGCAGGTTTCCAGCCACTCTTCCCCAAGCCTGTAGCGTTGCCTGGGGTTGTTGTGACCCAAGTGCAGGACCCGGCACTTGGCCATGTTAAAACTCATACAGTTGGCCTTTCTACCCTCAAGCAGATCAACACTCCCGCCCAACTGAATATCGTCTGTGAACTTCCTGAGGTTGCACTTGATCCCCTTGTCCAGATCATTGATAAAGAGAACTGACCCTACTACTGAGCCCTGGGGAACACCACTTGTGACCGGCCACCGACTGGATTTAACTCCATTCACCACAACTCTTGGGGCCTGGCCTTCCAGCCAGTTTTTTACCCAGTGAAGCAGACACCTGCCATGAGCAGCCAGTTTCTCCAGGAGGATGCTGTGGGAAACAATGTCAGAGGCTTTACTAAAGTCTAGGTAGACAACATCCACAGCCTTTCCTCATCCATTAAGCAGACCACCTTGTCATAGAAGGAGATCAGGTTAGTCAAGATCATCTACTAGGAGGAGCAGTTACTTGTACCTGCATCAACAAGCGTGTTGTTACTTCAAGACTACTTAATTATTTTTCAGCAATGAAAACAGTGCAAACAATTTGCCTATATTAT